AAATACGTATGGGGATATATGATATATAATATCATATATAGTAAATAACATTTTCATGGTAAATATATTAATTTATCATACCGAAAACAAGTTAAGTTCCCTAAACTTATTTAAATAAAAAAGAAATGGAAACTAATTAAAAAAAACTTAATTTTAAATAATCCACACCCTATAAAAATTACACAAAATAATATACTTATAATTAAAATACTTGTATATTCAGCTAAAAAAATTAATGCAAATCCTTGTCTTCTTTATTCTACATTAAACCCAGACACTAATTCCGATTTCCCTTCTGCAAAATTTAATGGTGTACGATTAGTTTCTGCTAAGCAAATTCTTAATCAAATAAATTCTATATATTGAAATTTTTTGAATTTAATTATATTATATCCTTCGATTAAAAAAATGAAAGATAACAAAATTAAAGCTAACCTTACTTCATAAGAAAATATTTGACCAACAGCTCGTAAACCTCCTAATAATGAATAATTAGAATTTCTAGAACACCCTGGAATTATTACAGTATATATCCCTATCATTGTAATTTTCAAAAAAAGAATAAACTTCAATTAAATCTATATAATCTTCTATAATTAATCTATCTATATAATCTTCTCAACATAGGTATACACATTCAAAGTAATATAGATAAAAACAATGAAAAAATAGGAGAATAATAGTAAGATATATAATTTGATATTAATGGATAAGTTTGTTCGTTACTAAATAATCACTAAAAGGCTGAACTATTCCAATAAATCCAACTTTATTTGGACCCTTACGAATCTGAATATATCCTAAATCTTTACGTTTTAACAAAGTCAAAAAAGCAATACCCCCTAAAACACTAATAAATAATAATAAACTTCTTAATAAAGATATAATAATTTCATTTAAAAGAAAACAACTATTTATGATTTTTAAAATTATATAAATAAATTCTAAATTTATTGCACTAATCTGTCAAAATAAGTAAGTAAATTTATTCATAAAATAAGTTTCATTTAAGTAAATATTAATTCCTTTCGTACTAAAGTATTTTATTGAATGAAAGATAAAAACCACCCTGGCTTACACCGGTTTGAACTCAGATCATGTAAGAATAAAAAGTCAATACGGGTTTATATTTAAGCTTCTGCATTTATTTATGAATCCTGATCCAACATCCAGGTCGCAAACTTTTTTGTTGATAAGAACTCTTCAAAAAAATTACGCTGTTATCTCTAAAGTAACTTAATTTTTTAATCACTAATAATGGATCATCTTATTATTAATAAATGATAAAAATTATTGAAAGATATTTAAGTTTTAATATCACCACAATGAAATTAATTAATAAATTTATAACAAAAATAATCAAAATAAATCAAAAGTGATCAAATAATTAAGATTTATAAGGTCGTCTAGTCTTTTGAATATATTTTACCTTTTCACATAAAAAATAAAAGTTTATAGAAAATTTGAATGAAACAGCTTATATTTCGTCCAACCATTCATTTCAGTCTTCAATTAAAGGACTGATGATTACGCTACCTTTGCACAATTAATATACACTGCCTTTTAAATTATGATTCATTTGTTAATTTGATGTACAAGCCCCTGGCTGTATCGAACAGCCGGAATTTTGTTTGCCGTCTTGTTGCTACAACCATGGAGAAACGGTTGCATGGCCAAGCTCACAGTGTGTCGCTAAATAACGACCACCGGCCACAGTGACTTATGATCACGGATATCTAATTAGCAGCTTTAAAGGATTGTATAAATAAAGATTGTAGAGAAACAAAGGAAGATATATCAAAAGAAATTAAAGATATATAAAAAGATTGTAGAAAAAAAGGATTATAGAAAAATGTTGATTGTATCAAAATAAATTGCATAAATGTAAAGATCGTACAAATAAATTTAAAATAACAATTACAAAAAAGCACTGTATAATTATAAGTATATTGTGCAATTATAAAATAAAGATTGTAAAATAATAAAAACTTTTATATTAATAAAATAAAACTTGTATGTTAATGAAATAAAATAATAAAGATTGAATAAATATTTATAAGATAAAATTTGAATATATATAAAAAGTTGTAGAAAAGTTATATCATTTTATTAGCAGATAAGGTTCTGTAATCAGAACACATGTCACAGTCCTCTAAGCAGTTTTCACTGATGCGTTTCGTCTGGGATTTATCCAGCCCCAGATTCATCTGAGTGGTAGAAAATTGAAATGTTACTAAAGAAACAGTCCTCATATGTCTTAAAAATACGATTGTATTAAAAATATCTTAAAAAATATATCCTTAAAAAACTTAAAAATAGTTATGAATATAAATATATATATGTATACAAATATTATAAATATACAAATGATAATAATAACATAATATAAAAATAAAAGTAAAAGAAATTGAATACAACATTGGTATCTCGGAACCACGGAATCCACCGCTATCCAAGACCAAAAGTCATAACCAACACTAATCCATACTAACATAAGTCAATACATAAATAAAAAATACCTAATAAATTATAACAAATTCAAATAAATTGAATAATAAATCATTCAATGGGCCGGCAAAACCTTAAAATATATACAAAAATAGATGTTTTTGTTCAACAGGCGAATAGGTATTACATTTGCCAAATTCTCTATTTAAACTTTTTAAACAAATTTATTTTAACATATTTAATACACTAATTTTTACATTATTATTTAGTTAAGTAAATTAAAATAAAAATTTTGAAAAATAAATTATAGTTCTATATATATAAATAAATTAGAAAAAAATTTTTAATAATTACTAAGTATTCGATTATTTTATAAATTTAATATTAAATCAAAAAAAACAAAACAACCATATTTTCAAAACTGAATTACAAATCATAATCGTCAAGTGGTTCGTCCTTTATCCATAGCCCCAACTCATCCGTTCTTATAATACCAGTAAATTCGTCGTCAGAATTGTTGTTGTCAGATGGTGGTTGTGGTGCATTTTGTCTTAAGAGGCTATGACTAAAATTATTAATTGCTCTAGCATTATTTGCATGTACCGTAAAAATTGGTAGAGTCGATTTTTGAATAATTGCCATAGCAGTCGTAGCACCATCTACTCTTTCCGAAACTGTATATGATACTCTTGGTGCGAGTCTGGCTCCTGGTCCTATTGGTACTGAATAAGATTTATTTTCAACTGTTTTCTTTTTAAATTTTTTACTTTGTGGACTTTCAATTACAGAGTCATTGAAGTCTCTACAGTCATCTAAAGTCGTAACTATAGCTTTAAAAATATTTTGAATTAACACGATACGCTGTCGTTTATTTACTGTTTTTATATATGGTTTATATATATCGAAATATGTGTCTTCTTCCGATCTATTCGTATCAAATTGTAAAGATTTCTCACACATAATTGGCTTAAATGTATTTAATTGTAATTGTGTTCGCTTTGCAAAGCTTGTATCGATTTGAACGTTTGCAAACTTAGCCGGTGGTATTTCTTCGCCTTCAGATTATAAAGCTTGAAGATCTGCATTAGTTTTTGTGTTTGAATGATCTTCATTTAAAAATGAAGGCCCGTCAATTATTTTCAGTTTTCTTGGCATCTTTTTTTTTTTTTGTGCCATCTTCATTATCAAATCGTTCTATATAATCGATATCATTATTTGTTTGTGCATGAGGAACTAATAATTCAACAAGATCAGCTAAATAATTCTCCTTATACGAGTTGACGTACGTTTCGATTTCGACCGAATTTTACAAATATTGACTGAAATAATGAAAATAACAATATTAATGAAATTCAATACATAATATAAATAAAACTAAAATATGTAAAGGAAATTGACGTCTTTTAGTCTTTTTAACATTTATTAAAATAAAACATGAAAAGAATTGAAGTAAACCGGAATATATGTACATAAACAAACTATTTTAATTTCACTTAATAATTAATTTGATAAACTTACTTAACACTGTATAACTCTCATTTGTGAGTGAATACGATATTGGCATAAGCCTTATTTCTGAGTGACTGAGTGACAGTAGAATAGATATATCAAAAAATGCTGACTTAAAATCAAGTTCGTGAAGAAATGAGTGGAATTGAGTGGAAGATAAATCAGTTTAAAGGAGCTTTGTTAAATGGATCGGAAAAGTGTTAAAAGTGTTTTGGCTTGACAAACTCCTTCTTACTGTGCGAAAGTAATCTGCCCAATATGGAGAGAAATATTATTAATTGGTGGATCGAATGGAACTAACAGAAAAGAACAACTTTCTATGAAAAATTATAACACAAAATCAAAAACAACTTCTTTTGAACTACCAACGAAATGAAGTATGTTGGTCATGGCACTCTGCTATGCAAAAAACCTTACGTACACAGAGTTAATATCCAACCCAATTCATATTTACAACTAAAAACTTAAAGTTTTTTGTGGAAGAAGACTGAAGTATGTGTCATATTATATATTTGCTCTTAGAACAGCTCCAATAAGAAATGTAAGTGAAACATGGAAGAATTGAGAAACACCCTAAGAATACATCCTAATAAAATAAACGTAAGAGACTTTCTCTTGCCTTCAATGGCAAGGTTGTACAACACCAACAACTACAGAAGATTAACATAAATAGTTAATGACCATAAATTCACATATTATTTTTAAGATATATAAGAAAATTTGATCCTAGCTTTCAGATGACATCATTTTCTGCAACAAAAATCTGTCAAAATAATGACAATCACGATTTCAACAGTACTTTCGAAATGCAATGGCATTTATATCATTGACATTGAGATACTCCTACTTCCAAAGTCAAATAAAAATAGAAAGTTCTTGCCAATTTATTTGAGGGGAAACGAAGAACAGCAAGTTAATGTTTGTAGAAAGGGCCATTGTTAGATTTGAAAAATTTTATTGAATGCAAAAGGTCGATTAACTCAGACTTTCCAAAACGCTTCGGAAAGACAGCAAAACGATAATTAAATGGTCGCAATCGTATTGTCGTGAATGTTGTGTACAACTGCTTAGAAAAAGAAGTTGGTGCAAACATTTTAGTTCAATTGGTGTATATATTAGTGAACACAACACGAAAATTGCAGATTATCCTAAAAATGTTCAATATGGCAACAAAATTGGGCAAATCTAGAGTAAATTTAGATTAAGTCCAAATTCAACAGATACAAACGCCATTAGATAGAACACTCAAAGACTTAACTGAAAATGATGCACTATTCGGAGATGCATCAATTTTGCTTTAAGATGATTTTCAACAAACTGACAGCAACACCACGTCCGACATTCATTAATAGATCACCGCCTTCGCATAGCGGAGGCACAAACCACTCACCCATATGCTACCCAACAGCAGATGGTAGTTCTGAGAAGCCAACTACGAACCAAACAACAATGCTAAACAACCAAACCCAAAGGCAACGCTCATACTCGGTAAGTGAAAATTCTTGCAAACAATCAAGCTACCAACCGCAAAGTCCAGCAACATCTTCGAAAAATAACACAGCATCAGCGCAACATGTTAACATATTGCCAAATATATTGCAAAAGAATAGTAACATAGCAAAAAATCCTGATTCACCCAAATTCCGTGGCATGGATAAATATATTCAAATCATAAAAAGAAAACGTAGCCCGAAACAAGAAAATGCTAACAATGCAATCTCGACAAAAACTCGAAAAATAGAAAATATTTCGACAGCGAATCGTTTTGCCGTTCTAGCCGAAGACGATAAAAATACCAGACCCGCCCCTACCCAGAAACCGCCACCCATATTTCTGCGTGAAAAAAATTCAAACGCTCCAATACTCCCTAACACAAAGTATTGGCAAAGATTCATTCCATGTTGTGCCTCTTCGTAAAGGAAATGTCGATGAAACAAAAATCTCGATCAACGAAGAAAAACATTACAGAGCAGTTGTAAACAACTTCGAAAAAAATAGAAAAAATTTTTACACCTATCAATTAAAAAGTGCCAAAGGATTAACAGTAGTTATAAGAGGAATAGAACCAAATTTGAATACAGCAGAAATTAAAGAAGCACTTGAAGAAAAAGGATTTAAATCAAAATCTATATACAACATTAAAAACCGCGATAAAGTTTCGACACCACTTTATAAAATAGAGCTTGAACCTGAAGGAAAGAAACTCAAATCGAACGAGGCTCATCCAATTTATTCCCTACAATTCCTACTACACAGAAAAATATCAGTAGAAGAACCGCACAAACGTAAAAACCCGGTGCAGTGTACTAATTGTCAGGAATATGGACATTCGAAGTCCTATTGCACACTTCGTAGTGTTTGTGTTGCATGTGGCGACTTTCACCGCACTAAGGATTGCACATCAAATAAGAAGGATCCAACAACAAAAAAATGCGGAAATTGTGGAGGCAACCACACCGCTAATTATAAAGGATGTGTAGTATACACTACCGAAAAACAAAGAATGTTTCCAGCATTGCGTCCCCGCTCTCAGTCAGTAATCCCACCACACCCTACTCAAATGCGATCTCAGCCAAATGCTCCATCTGACTCCAACAATACGTGTACACAAATATCATATGCAAACGCTGTTAGAGGATTCACTGGCCCAAGCAACGTCCAAAATGAAAACTCTACTAAACCGTCTTCAAATATTGAAAACATGATCCAACTGTTTATGGAAAACATGACACAATTTATGAACACCATGCAAAATATGATGCAGGGAATGATTCAAAATCAAAATATCTTACTTTCAATCCTATCCAAACCATGAATGCAATCAAAATTTGCTTCTGGAATGCTAACGGCTTAAGCCAACATAAAAACGAACTTGTATTGTTTTTACAATCACATCAAATTGACGTCATGCTGATCTCAGAAACCCATTTTAACGAGAAAAGCTACTTTAAGATACCTGGCTACATACTCTACGATTCGAAACACCCCAGTGGACGAGCAAGAGGCGGATTTGCTGTCCTCATAAAAAACCACATTAAACACTTCCCAACTCAAACCCTTGAAGCAGAATATATGCAGGCGACAAGCATATGTCTAGAAGAATACATAAAAGGTCTGAATATAACCTCAATCTATTGTCCACCAAGGTATAAAATAACGGAACTTCAATTCGAAGAATATTTTACACAGCTTGGACCCAAGTTCATAGCGGCCGGCGACTTCAATGCCAAACACACATTCTGGGGCTCAAGACTTATATCACCAAAAGGAAAATCCCTGATGAACGTGATATCAAAACTCGACCTTAACATATCCTCCACTGGCACACCAACATACTGGCCTTCAGATCGGAAAAAAACTCCAGACGTCATTGATTTTGCGGTAACAAAGAATTTAAAAAGAGATCAAATTGCTACCGAGGCATCCTTAGAACTCTCCTCTGATCACACGCCGACTTTTATTCTGATTAGAAACACAACAATAGTCAATCCAAAATCTGATGAAAAGCTCACAAACCAGCACACAAATTGGCTAAAATTTAAAAAATATGTTAGCTCACATATTAACACCGACATTTCCCTAAAATCAAATATTGAAATTGACAAGGCAGTCCAGGACTTCACAGCTTTACTTCAACAAGCCGCTCGAATATCAACCCCACTCCCAATACCCCACAAACCTATAAACTACCATACATCGAACGAAATTGCAACCCTTATACAGGAGAAACGACAAGTACGACGCCAATGGCAACAACAACGATCCCCCCGTATTAAAAAACAACTCAAGAATCTGACGAAAGCACTTCAGAGATTACTCAAAGAAAAAAATCGCATAGAATACGAAAATTTTATTTCACAGTTGTCTCCAACGCAAACAACAAACTACTCCCTTTGGAAAGCCACTAAACTCAAGAAAAAGCCCGTTATATACAGAGCACCCCTCCGACTTACAGATGGAAACTGGGCTAAAAGCGATGAGGAAAAGGGTGCTGCTTTTGCAAATCACCTTAAATATGTATTTACCCCAAACTCTACTTTAACAAAACTTGACTCTCTGCCTTACTCCACACGAAACGACAATATGACAATTTGCTTCAGTAAAAAACCACTAAAAAGCGAAATCAAAAATTTAAATACCAAAAAAGCCCCAGGCTACCACCTAATTACAGCGAAAATGCTGAAAGAGATCATACAAATCGCCAAATTTATAACGCTATTTTAAGGACTGCATATTTTCCAAACGACTGGAAGCTATCCAAAATCATGATGATACCCAAGCCCGGAAAGGACCCCGCTCAAGTCACCTCATATAGACCCATAAGTCTGCTTCCAATTCTCTCAAAATTATTTGAAAAACTTTTTATAAAACAACTAATGCCATATATAAATAAGAAAAGAATAATACCTAACCACCAATTTGAATTTAGAGAAAAACACAACACAATAGAACAAGTACACCGCATAGTACGAGTAATTAAGGAAACGTTTGAGAAGAGGCAGTATTGTTCAGGCGTCTTTCTAGACATAACCCAAGCCTTTGACAAAGTTTGGCACGAAGGATTGTTCTGGAAACTTGAGAAACATTTACCATACAATATATCCTCAGTTATCAAAAACTACCTCTCAAATAGAAGATTTGTTATAAAACAAAATTCTTTTGTCTCCAATGCCTTCCCCATTATGGCAGGTGTACCCCAAGGTAGTGTTCTGGGCCCCTTGCTGTACCTGATTTTCACAGCAGACATGCCAACCAGTGACTGTACGACAACATCAACATTTGCGGATGACACTGCCATTCTCAGCCATAGTGACGACCCATTCACAGCCACAAAATCAGTTCAAGACCACCTCAACAAACTGCAAAAATGGCTCGATCTGTGGAGAATAAAAGTTAACGAATCGAAAAGTGTACACATAACCTTCACTCTACGACGAGATACCTGCCCTGCCCTTCGTATTAATGGAAAAGTAATACCACAATGCAATGACACCAAATACTTAGGAATGCACCTCGACCGAAGGCTTACGTGGAAAAAGCATATAGAAACCAAAGTAACCCAAATTAAACTCAAACAACAAGAACTAAACTGGCTGATAAATAAAAATTCTAAACTTAATCTCACCTATAAAGTGCAACTTTACAACACAATGATGAAACCCATATGGACCTACGGAATTGAACTCTGGAGCTCTGCTTCTCCATCAAACATTGAAAAACTTCAAAGAACTCAATCAAAAATCCTTCAACAAATAGTCGGTGCCCCCTGGTATATAAAAAACGCAAATATTCATAGAGATCTTCGAATTGACACAGTCACAGATGTAATTACCAGCAACACACAAAAGTACAAAATCAAACTCAGGAACCATCAAAATCCACTTGCAAGCAACCTTACCCAAAGCGCTGGTACACAGCGACTCAAAAAAAACTACATAAACCCGGCTATTCAAGAATAACGCCCGACATGGTAACGAAATTGGACGAAGCTTTGGCTAAGGACAATTAATTATCTACTTTTCTTTTTTCAAATATTTTAATACAGCAATTAGCAGCGAAAATTTATTGTTAGTTCTAAGTTGATTTTTAGAAGATTCAATAAAAATCAAAATAAAATTTAAAAAAAAAAAAAAAAAAAAATTCATAGATGAAAAAACAAAACTACAAATATAGTTAGCCTTACGTTAAATGGAAACCTTTGTTGTAACTGAAATTCACTTTGTATGTCTAAAACACATACATAAAATCGGTTCAGAGCTGGTTCGAAAGGGGTTCAGGACAACATCTTAGAGATATAGTTATGCATAAGTTTAAGGTGAAGCATTAGTTTATTTATACGCACATGAAAACGCAACCGTGGATCGACCAGTGTATAATAAACGAACTTTATTAATAATAAATAAAGGACAATTAAATAAATAACATAAAGCATGCTAATATGAAACTGTCTTCCACTTAAGACCTGCAATATAAATACTCAAGAACACTGAAGGAAGTACTATAGTTCAGACGTTTTTCTAAAGTTTTTACATAATTTTAGGCGAGTTTTCATAGAAATTGCCATTATTCGCATGTTTCACTTAAATTTCAGATTGCAGCTGCCCTAATTGCACATATGTGGAATGTGAATGCACCCAACTCCCGTAAGAAACATTAAATTAGAATGTTAAAAGTATAAAACATTACTCAGCCAGAACTCACTGCTCCATGTTAAATCCATGTTTTTTTTCTAATATAATACAGTGATTGTCAAGATGGTCAAATCCACGTGTGAAGATAACCAACTATTTAAGTAAATAAAAACAAATACAATTGCTACAGATAAACATGGTGGTGGCGGTGTGCTTTTACATTATATACTGTGTGTTTGTAATTGTTATATCATAATTTTTTAATATCGTTTAATTAACAATTTTATTCATAATATGTTATTCTAAATTAGAAATAAAACTGGTAAAAAAAGAAAGACTTATAGTGTTAATTTATGAGGAATTGAAACAAATTTTGGTTCGTTGAGTTGGCTGTTCGTTAAATCGCCAAAATGTCCGGCTAAAAACAATTGTAGGCTCTAATAGGGTTACAGGGGTTTATTATGAATGTGCGTAGAGGTAGAGTTGAAATGCGTTAAACAAATTATTCATATAATGAATTAGACAAGACTGAAGGACATGTAGGAATACTGGGGCGAAATGAAAGTAATTTATGGATAAAGAATGGTAAAGGTGTCATATTCTCTGTTTGATCTAATTATTCCTGTGCATGTGTGTAAAAATTTTTAATGGCACTAAAATTCTTTTTTTGATTGTTATCTTTAGAATTTTCTCAGTTACCAAGAACCCCATCCCAAAATCGGCGAGCATACCGGGCTAGCCATAGTGGCATGAGCGACTTCTGAAAGCGTCAATGTACCAACAGGCAGACACAACATATAGAAAACATGCACAAACATTTATTTTATGACAAGATATTTGTGTAGGTTGAGCCTAGTACTAACAACCATATCTTACGAAAAATCAACATAAAACTCCATATAAAAAAGCTTTCTACAATGTTAAAGTTTTTCAAGACATCTTTATTATTGGAGTTTTATTAATTTTTCGCACATAACGGTTATTAGTACTATGGCTAGCTTTAAAAAGCAAATTTGATATTTCATATTATTAACTGAGAAATGTTATTTCATTATTTTGTGAATTGTAAATATTTTGCACGCATCCTTTACACTTAATGTATCAAAATATAAAAATCAAATACTCAAAAATCCTTCGACTAATTGACTATGTTACGGACATAAATACAGTGGAAAAAAATTCTTTGAAAACATATTTTCAGTTCAATTTAGTTCAACTCACACAAAGTATTATCAGTAGTTCAGATCAGATCTGTTCCATGGGTTACCCCAAGTAGAACTTGAGTAAAATCCAAATAACGTATTAACTGAAGCACCAATCAAATGAGATGTCATATTACACTAAATTCCATTTCAAGCTTTTCATAAACAAAACAATTAAAATTACAAGTTCACGTTAAAGATATGGAAAAGTTTTAAACATTCTTACTTTATTAAGTAATTAATTAATTTAATAGTTATTGAATTCAATTTCAAAACGGAACATCTGATTTATATATTAACACAAATTGTGGATAAATAGTCAAGGTGTTGACTTATATTATATAAATAAAAATGACTATAACCGCCTCATTGCACGCATCTCGAGATCATAGATGATTTTCGAGACGGTCAGTTTAGCTTCCACTGCCAAAAATCTGGGTATCCTTTTGACAGTTTCGCTTACACTTCTAAAAAATAAGTCATATGTATTTCTAGTTGATACGAGTGTATCCGATTCTGATTCGTCTTCATCATTGTTTGATTGCGTGTCTTCAGCGTATTTTGCACGTTTAGTGTTCATATTTTCTTTTGTACGATGCATACGTTTTGTTTGGTACACATTCTCTTCGCATTCCTCAATTCTTTGAGAACTAAATACAAAAGAGTTTATTCAATTAATTCAATTAATGCAATTAATGCAATTTGCCTTACTCTAAAGTAATATCATGTAAAATACAAAGTATGCTAGAAAAACATGCTAACATCTTACCTTTCCACGTAATTTTTATATATGTTCGTTCTGTATTCTCCATGAGCAATTTTTTCATGTAACTTCAACTTAGTTTCAGACCAAGGGAGAGTAATATTCTTATTACAAACTTTGCAAAATGCCATCAATGCATTTTGACCGTCATAAGAAACCCAATCATACTTCTTTCGTAACTCGTCACTAATACACGAATAAGTTTTACTATTAATTATGAACAAAGTCTCATTCTTTATTTTTTCTGCAGTTTCACTAAAATTGTAGAAAAATATTATTTTAAAAGGAATGACTTATACTATTGAAACACGTACTTTACTATCGATTGATCCTTGTGTATTAATGTTAGAAATTTCGTATGATTACATCCTCTAGTGTGATGTTTAAAATAAATTGATTTTATGTAAATATCACAGAGCACACAATAGCTCTGTTCTTTAAAATTAGTTAGAGTTAACAACCAATTATTCCTAAAATTTAGTTAGTATTCAAAAGTGGATTTGTTAAAAAAGTTAAATTATTACATAGTAAAGACGCCATTCTCCTCTCCCGATCCATTCAATTTAACTGCGTCTTTGTGTGCTTGGGATCTTTGGTGGCGTTCTCGCAAGTGAATATACTTGCAATTTATTTTAATTAAGCAAAACTTGCACATACCAATTGTTCCTTCAACCCGTTCGAGCCAGTAATAACTTTTTAACCACTGATACCAAATGAAATCTAGAAACTCATTAAAATTAAACAACTCATTTCTCATTTTATTAGAGGCTTCATCATTAGATTCAATTTCTCTCTTTAAGTGCATATTTGAGCTATAAAAAAAATCCCATATAGTTAAAATATATGATTGTTTTAACAAATAATTAATTTACTTATTTAGTTCTTTATATTCCATAAACTCCAATTGATATGATGAAAATTCCTTATGTAAAATTGATTTGCTGTGGCGTTTAAGCCTTTTTAGACAAATTTTTACATCACAACATACACAATAGTAACCTTTTTCTTCATCTCTTGCAATCCATTTATATTTTCTGCAAGCAGAAGTCCAATTTTCACAATTCAAATACTCCTTTCTACCCCAATATTTCTTGTAAACACAACCGGAGAATTTTGGATTTTTGAAGTCTCCAATTTGAATTATGCTTGTTGGATTTATTTTTATTGTGTTATCCATTTTAAATTTGCTAATATTCCAATTATATCCAATTAAGAATATTTATAAAACATGTCCACTTCCGCAATGACGCTGAGCTCGCAAAAAATTTCACTCAAATGTCTTACTATGGTTACCAGATATTGACAGATATTGATAGATATTGCCAGATGTTGCTAGATATTGCTAGATATTGCCAGATATTCTAAATATCTGGTCAACACTTATCAAAGTCATTTGAAAGTGGGATAATTAAACATTAAATTTAATTAGTAGGGAACTCTATAAGAAAAACCTTTATCAGATTCAAATCGGTCATAAATGATCGAATTTTTAATTATTGAACGGATATATTGAGCTTAAAAATAGTGTAAAATATGTATGGAATACCAAAGAATTGTTTCTAATTATTGATTGTTTTAATCATGCTAAATATATATAATAATTGTTCATTTTTGTTTAAAGCTCTTGTTGTTTTATATAAACGCGAAAACATAATGTAGATATACATGTGGCGAATCGGACACACATACTTCAGCGCAGTGGCGACGCGTGCCCTATCTGGAAGGGTGTGCGGCCCTTCTATAAAGTTGTTTTTACATGTACCACTTAAATGAACGTATATGAGATGTTTTATTAATAATAACTATATTTTATTAGGCAACAATATATTCGCAGTATTATATTAACAATTCATTAACAAAATAACATATTAAACAAATTAAATTAATAATTTATATATAAGTTTCATTGGCGGCATCCTGTTATGTTGTTAGAATTATGGAAACGAAAGTTTATTTAAAATTTTTGAAGTAAACCAGAACGAAAATACTGAACGAACTTAACATTTTGATCTAAATTTATTACCATTAACACCCCAAATATACTACAATGGTCGTGAAAGAGTGGGTACCGCAGAACACGTTTTGAGAACTGCAAACCGTTCATCCAATCATCAGACAAGGATCCGATTGTGCATTTATTGAATTTGTTAAAAGAAATTATGATATAGACAATAGACAAGCAAGCCTTCAATTGCTTGAAAGAAGAAAGACCAACATTGTTACAGAGGTAACTTTAAATCTTCTTACTCCTATGCTCTGCAAATTGACAGATATTATCAAACAAAAATTAGTATCAACTCATTATGAAAAATATATATTTTGTCTTAAGTATAACTTTTGAAACGCTGACTGTGTCAATATTTTCTCAAAGTAAATTTGTTTTTTTTTAATTCTGCGTGAACACAATTAATTATCGGAGGTATACTAATAAACTATATAAATAATCAATTAGCTATCACAAGTTATTGTTTGATTGAGATTGTGTTTGTGTTTGTGATTGTCATGTGAAAAGTTTGCAATTTTAAATCCAATTAAATCGGGGATCAAGCAACCTCCAAATATAGTTTCACAAACTTATAAATATGCAATTTAATTTTTAACTTACCTCATGTTTATGTTCTTCACTTATTTTTTTTTTTTTTTTTTTTTTTTTTTTTTT